GTATATTAAGTATATTAAATAATATTATACATACATATATATTAAATATTAAAAGAAGTAAATGTGTACAAAGATCATATTCGTTGACGGTGAAGACAGCAGAAGAAATGATATATTTTTCAGCCTAATATATTTTTGTTTTCGAGAGAGAACGTGCAAATTAAACTTTCTGAAGCTTCCTCAAGCTCCAACAAATATGATTTTCTTTTTAATTATTATTATTTCGAAAAGTTTATCAAATTGTGTGAATTACGTGAGGACAATTTTGTGACAGAAAGTGTATAGTTTTTTCTCCTTTCTTTGTAAAATTGTCAATCACCCATTAGATAAGCTTGAAGCGTTCCACGTATTGTTACGGGTTAACTTAACGTTGAAATTTCAGTGAAATTTGGTAACTTTTCTGTTTTTTTTTTCGTTATCTATGCGATAAAAAATAAAATGTTTAAATGTAGTACGTAAGACATATAGCATAAGATAACTTAATTTAACGTTCTACACGTTAGTTTAATTTCTTTTATCTCGATAATAGATAAAAGCAGCTAATGTTTAAGTAACTTTCGTTTGCGAGATTTAACATATCACACATCACAAGCACTTGTTATTAAATCACACGATCTTTAAAACATTTCAATTCTCTCTCAAAGAGATTAAAAAAATTTATCTTCTGCTTATGAATTTTAATTAATAATCTAAGCAATAATTTCATCTATGTAATTTGTATATGTGATTTTCAAGAATGTTTAAATGATTTCTCGAGTATAGGAAAAGAGGTATTTGATTCCTCTTCCTCATAATTTACATTATTATAATAATATCTTTATCTTAACAAAAATAAATATATCTCGAGATGTGTTTAATCCTTAAGAATTTTAAGAATGTCAGAAGAAAACTATCTAGTATTTTTCAATCTCGCTGTGAGATTGTTTCATAACGTCGCGTATTATCTTTGCTTCTTTCAAAAATTGAAATGTTTTAAAAGTTTCATATTTACAAGAGAAAAGAAAAAGATAACATATATTCGAATATTAGAAAAGACGATGCGATAAATATCTCAGTTTTGTATCGCCATTTTTGCGGAGTGTTGAATGATATGTACAAATATTACAAAAATGTTCCTACTAGAAATTAAGACTTATTATAGTGTGCCAAGTGTTATGTTTCTAAAATGTTGGAACATAGTATTTTCTTGTAACTTGTATTACAAGGCCTACCATTTAATAGTGTGAATAAGTGCTTATACTTTTGTAAGATGCGCGTCTCGTACCTTAACGGCATACGTGGCCGAAGTTTAGAATTACGCAGTTGCTTACGCGGTGCCGTCATAATACACCGGACTGATTCATAGTAAGGCGCGAGATGACGTTACAGAAATCCGAGACCGCGCAGTAACGTTCGCGATTAAGAACGACAACAGGTGATAACGGTTTAGAAGTATGAATAAGTACTGGATTTTTCATGTTATATAACATGGGCAGAAATTCGAAAAGAGAGAAAGCAAATTTCAATTCGGACATGCCCATGGTAATTCAGCGTGTCCAGTTGCACGTTTTATAAATTGTATAATAATATTTATTTTGTCGCAATTGCCGCCTCTGATGTCGATTGAGGTTCACCCGATTACACGTTCCCGCCTGCGAGTGTTGGAATCTATCGACTGATTAAATTTTACGCAAAAAGCTTTGTTGTACTCATCCAAAACGCGTGCGTGCTCGCGCAATAAAAACCTTTTGGATTTTTATTTTCTTTGTACCCCCCGCTCTTCCCCCTAACCGTATTATAGATCTCCGTTTATTCGGAATTAATCTTGTGCATTCTGGACACGCCTTTTCTTTTTGTAGTCGTTCGTATTTAAGATTATATTGTCATAATAATCATCTTGCAATTCCAAATATTTGTAATAACCAAGGATAATTATTATTATTATTATCTCCGCTATATTAATATATTATTTAAATGTATTTGTACAAAATTGTATTATGTTTAATAATGATTCATAGAGAATATATGCATTTGAAAATGAAAGGTGTGTTTTCCTCACAACGGTATATCGCTCTTTATTAAGTTTTATTCAATAGTAACGCGTTATATAACACAACAGAATTTATCAGAGATCTATGTGTAATATTTCCTGCACCCCTATTACTGGTTGAAAGTAAATCGTTAAATAGTACGTGACTGCACCTTTTACGATAATCTGTATAATACCCACATAGATCAGTTTGATAATTCATTCGGTGACCTACTTTTTTTTGTATTATTTTATTATTCTTAAACCAAAAAAGATTAAAAATTCGCTATCTTTATTAATTGAATTCATTGTCATTTAATATAAAATAAATTATTGTAACATTATCATAACACATACTTTTTCATCAGTTCAATTTTTATTTTTGTTTTTACTATAGAGTTTAGCAATTGTATTATTTAAAGATGCAATTAGCAGTCAAAAAATTTCTATATAATTGCAAAGGATGTTAGCACATTATTTTTGACGTCGTCTATCGAGTAAGTAGGTCACATCTTTTATATTTGACCAGTTAAACGGATCGTCCTTCGCGCACACACGTACATACTATAAAATTATAATTAGATTATTTAAACGTGAAATTATCAATATTAATATTGCATCCCGCTTATTTCAAATTTCGCCTCTATCGGATAAATTCTTTTGTACTCATCCGATTAATCATTTTCTCGTTTCATAACAATATAATACAGTTACAATTATATTATTCGAACAAGAATTTTTATGTTTAATTATATAAAAAAAAAAAAATTATCGATTTAATTTGTTTTATAAGCGGATAAAAATTTTGTGATCTTTTTCCGTTATTACCACCTAAATATTTTATTTTTTTGGAAATCCCTACTCTCTTTAAACGCACGCCGATGCATGACGCGTTGCTATTATATTGCGCCTTCGCAAAAATTGGTCGTATGACAAAAGATAATACGCTATTAGCGTCATATCTGCATCTGAACGTTCCCCATAAACCCGGGAAATACTAGCACATCCTGTATACATGAACGCGCTCGTGTTAAAAAATCGTTCAATAGACAGCGAGCCACCGGACAGTAACAACGACTCGTCGTCATGCGGTTCTACGTGTTGCTGGTGAACATAGTTGCTGTCGCGGTGACGATGATCAGCGTCGCGATCACCTCCGAAAAAGTGAATCGCGGACTCGATCAGATCGAAAGACCGTTTCGAGTTCATAGTATAGTCACTCCTCAAAATCGGAACGTGGAGCCATTTACTGATTCATCGTCTATATTCTTTTTGCATCTGCTCAAGTATAAACCGCGGTATCAGAAGCTAGATAAGATCCCTACTACTACTGCCGCTGCGACAACCAGAGCTTGCATCTGCGTACCTTTTTATTTATGCGACAGTAATCAGACAATCATCACCGATGGGAGCGGAGTAATCGACGAGCGGTGAGTTCATCATCAAAGTTCAAAATTCTTAATTAATCTATAATTACTTGCCGCTAGAGAGAGAAAGAGAGCATCCAGGTTTTAATTAACTTTAATCTAGTTCAGTTGATCTATACCAAATTTTAATTTAATTTTATAACTATCGTAATTTTAATTTTATTTATTTTACCTATTTTACCTTCATTCGCCTTTACCCTATCGAGTTTTAGTTTTACTTTATTTAGTCTTAAATTCTGATTTATTTTTACTTCTCTTTTTAAGTTATAAATTTTAAGTATTATATTAAGTATTACATTTAGTTCGCTAGCTAAATTAAGTTTCAAGTTAGTCGACATTGGGTGCGTTCAGCCGATACTCCGCTAGCCTAGCAATCGTGATTTACCCAATGGATTAAAAGGAGAGGAAACGAGCGACTGCTCACGATTGCTAGGCTAGCGGAGTATCGGCTGAACGCACCCATTGATAAAATCAAAAGTGTTTAATAATATAGAAATAAAATAACTGTGCAGTGCTGGAATATGTCCTGGGGAATTGGATGTCTGCTGCTACCCGCGAAGAACTACACCAATGCCTACGACACCTCCAACTACACCACCAATAGTAACATTTCCAACTACACCACCGACAGTAACATTTCCAACTACACCACCGACAGTAACATTTCCAAATCCTCCCACGACCGTATTTCCGAACTGTATCTGCGTAGTGACATCGCTATGCGATCCTAACGGAATAGTCACCATACCTGGCGAGGGTATAATAAATCCGCGGTACGGATTGTGCCCCGGCAACCTGGTCTGCTGTAGGATATTGGTGACCACGACGCAGCCACCGACGAATCCTCCGACCACGATGACCACGGTACCACCCACGGTGGCCACGACTGCACCACCTGGACAGACACAACTATGCTTCGTATGCGGCGGTGTCACTCAATGTTTCACCTGCGTGACTGTCATTACACCCGGCGGTGGTGGCATGATAGATCCCAGATTCTCTCAGATTTTGTCAGACGGAAATGTCTGCGCGGCGATGAGCATACCGTCCTGTCAAAACACGGCATCAGACACGCCGATTACGAACCTGGGCCCGTTAAAGAACGCGGGTACATCGCAGGAATGTTACTGCGTGAAGACCTGGTTATGCTCTGAAGGAAACACGGTCAGTTTGGACGGTCTTGGCATAATTGACTCGAGATTCACGACGTGCTCGTCGGCAGATCAAGTGTGCTGTCGGCTCGCAGGGATCGATCTTCAGGGTCTTCGCAACGCTGGCACAACTCTCGTGTCCTCGTCCGGAAGTCCCGACGCGAACATACCATCCAATCGTTCGTCCTCGCAGATCGCTTGTGGTATACGGGACAATAGTTACGCGCCGCGTAAGTATAAGCCGTAGTCGTTATATTCGTGTCAACGACGTAGCGCGTAGTCTAGGTGAAGTATAAATTCAGAACGGTATATTAATTCAGGCTACTATAGGCTGTTGCTCGAACAATAATGATAGCAATCACTTACAGCGCAGCCTTTTCCCCCTAACTCCGAGAAAACCTATTTCGCTGAATTCCCATGGATGGTCGCGCTTCTCCTAAAGTCCGCGACCGGCGGTCCTTACGTTTTTCACTGCGGTGCTTCAGTGATCAGTAACGGTGCCGTCCTCACTGCCGCCCATTGCGTTGTGAAGTACGTGTAGAAAGACGCAAGAAGCAATTTTTCAAAACATCTCTGGCAATTTCGTTGGTTCTAATCGGTTCATTTTTTCTTCGTCTTAATTTTCCGATAGCCAAAAGCCCGAGAATTTAATTGCACGCTTCGGACAATGGAACTTGGGAAACAATACACAACCATTGCCTACTCAAGACGCGCAAATCTTCACAATAGTTGTGCATCCGTCGTATTTTAGCGACGGACTTTTTCACGATGTGGCTGTCCTCGTTTTGGCAGAACCAGTCACTTATAGCGCGAACCTCCTGCCGATTTGCCTTCCCAAACAAGGTATGGCCTTCTTGGCCGGGACCAGATGCTACGGAATAGGATGGGGCAGCGATTCGTTCGGTGAGCCTCGAATTGAGATTACAGATTTCTACTTATCATTTCTTTCGGCTTATCAAAAACAAGTATTCATTCACATATCACAATTCCCAATCACGTTCAGGACCGGAAGGAAAATATCATGCCGAACTTCGAAAGGTGAGTCTACCTATCATCGATCGAGGGGATTGTCAGACGCGTTTACGAAGCACGAAATTGGGTCAATACTTTGAACTGCATGGATCGTTTATTTGCGCCGGCGGCGAAACAAATAGAGACACGTGCCGTGGCGACGGTGGTGGACCATTGATTTGTCAAGCCGCTACGGGACAATTCTTTCAGGTGAGCTTGATTATAATAAAAATAATATCTTACACATTAAGAAAGAGTTCAGCAATGAACAAAGCGAAATGGACAGATTTAATAATCTCTTTAATTCTTTTTCAAATTTTTTGCCTATTTTAAGCATCCGCGTGACTTACATTGTCATACTAATTATGCTCTTTTAATCAGTAAGATTTTATTATTGTTTTTTAAATTCTTGTTTATTTATACAATCTATTATTAATTTCATTTCCTATTTTAATTACAGTGCAAATTAAATTGAGCTAAGATCGCAGGCATTTTTGTTACTGAATTTTTATATTACTGAACAAAAGAAATAGACTTGAATAAATTCGTATTTTAGGCTGGTATTGTATCATGGGGCATTGGTTGCGGAGCTTCTAATGTACCTGCAGTATACGCCAGCGTATCGCAACATAGTCAATGGATAGATCAACAGTTCGCGACTTATGGCGTATAATGATGTGTGTCGTGTGTAGTTTATTTAGTGATTTCTAATGCAACGATTGCGATTACGTGCCGTTTACGTATGCTAATATCACTCGCATAACTTATGACAATTATTTATAATAATAAAGTGCAATGATATTTTATATTAACTTTATATACTTTAATTATCTTAATTCGCTCGAGCATCTGTATTTTGTTCAATCTTCTGATCATACAGCGAGTAATCAATGCGTCATAAACACATTCTCCGAGAACGAATATCTGAATAGATTTGTTTTAGTTAATACGATAGCTGTGTAACACAAAGCTTATCGCGGCACGACGAGCGTGGGAAAGAAGCTCGGAGGTCAAGCGTATATCGTTGTTCTAGTTTCAGAGCAAAATATTTCTCGTATGTATTTTGAATTATACGACAAATTGTCATTCGCTACAAAGTTGAGCACGATTTATTGATACAACGAGACCAATCTACAGATCCAAAGAAAATTGCCCTAGGAAAATCTATGAAACATGGCAAACGTTCGTACTTGCACGACTATATTATCTGGATATGAATAATAAAAAAATTCACAAAAAAGGCTTCTACCGTGACAATGTTATACACATTGCCGTGACCAGGATTCGAACCTGGGTTACTACGGCCACAACGTAGGGTCCTAACCACTAGACGATCACGGCTATTGGAAGAATCGAATGGAGTGTCGGAAACTGAGCACAATGTTTGCGCCGATAAATAAACAAATTTTTCAGTAATTAAATATATACTTTGATTAAGACGACTGTAATAAACAATATAGCAAATTACTTATAATAAGATAATTGTATATGTACTATATGTAGCGAAGATAATTACAGAATTTTGCGAAAAGTTAATATTTTTTTATGATATATTTAAAATATATTAAATATCTCTTTCTTTCTATCATATATTCGATATACAAATTCAAGAAATTCTGAAAGTAAATAGTTGACAGTTGACGGTGGCTGATAGCTATTCTCTACAAAACACGAATATCTGAATAAAAGATCGATAAATTATTTTATAAAGAAAAACGTTTTTTAAGCACATAATTTCGCGTGGTTATAATTTTTAAACGCACAATTTGATGTTACTACGAAAATTAATAAAAAAAAAAAACTTCCACCGTGACAATGTTATTCACATTGCCGTGACCAGGATTCGAACCTGGGTTACTACGGCCACAACGTAGGGTCCTAACCACTAGACGATCACGGCTATTGGAAGAACTGATTCCAGAACTGGAGAATCGAGTAGAAGACTTTCACCGACCTAATATTTTTCCAATAATTAAATATATACTTCGTTAAATACGGTTATACAATAAATCATGCAATATATTAAATTACTTTATACTAAAATAATTGCGTATATTGAAAATAATGTAAGACTTTTGTTATAGAAATTAATATTTCCTTCGCATAAATATATAACATTTTTTTTAAAAACGTTACATATTTATGCATTAAATTGAAAAAAAAAAAGTATTTATAGTAATTATTATATTTTGCATATTTGCGCTTTTCACAGCGCAATTTCACCGAGTTCAAAGTCTTTGATGATAACATGATAACAATATTTATGCAAAGCATAGTGCAACGTTTATCGCATCAAATATTGAACTTTGCTTATCACATACAGTTCCATTTTATTTATCTTTGGGAATTAAATTTTGATCAAATCGGAACAATCAATCTGTGTTACGTTTTTAAAACAAATCGAAAGAGACACTCAATCTTAGATTAAGCATTGCTTCAGTATTGTAAAATTGAATTATATATGTATTTAAGAATACTTCATTCTACAAAGGGTTTTATCGACTTTTTACGTAAAGATGCACACATGGAAAATAGTTGTTAATGATGTAGCCTTATTGCATTTTTGACGAAAAGAGACAACCGTTTCGTTGTTAAGCTATGTATTCATGACTTCCTGCTAACAATTATTATTATTACAGTGATGGTATCTTTTGGATGACTACAAAATATTTTAACGTTCGCTACTCCTTCCGCGTTCTGGTCGTACTCACTACTGTATATAATACATAAATAGCAGCTTCGTCATTTTCTTTCATGAAAGAGTTATAAGAGAAACGAATTGTTTTTTGATTGCGCAACCAAACTCAAATATTACGAATCTTCGATTTCGCGAATATTATCCTATGAATATTTTTAACTCATCTGTATTTTTGCAAAGTGTTCGCAATCGAGCTGATAAATATTCTCGCGTTCGGTAAAATGAGGATGGTAAGTGGCATTTCCGATCAGATATAATGTCAAATGAAACGCTGTTGCAACACTTGCGGACAATACCCGATGATTACGTGTCATCCGAATCGTGTGCAACCAAACGGTACGACAATCTCGATAATCTCTCTCTTTTTAACGACGTGCGTCATTTATGACGTTTAGGTAGCACGTATTGCCGACTAAATCCAGTTTTTTTACACGCTTTTCCTCTATCGAGGCATTAAACGAATCGGGGTAGAAATTGTCTGCATTATACTTCCCACATTTCTACTAGCTTTAAGAAAACTTAAACGGCGAACTATTACGATATACGGATATTATATACGTATTATTAGTATAAAAAGAGAAATAGAATGACGTAAATCAATTTTCATATTAATATAAATATCAGTGACCTGCAATGACTTTTTTCATAATTTTTCAGTTTAGATTAAAATCCGCAAATTTATCGTCGTTGTCTCTCTCTTTTTTTGTAGCAAACTGCACGAAGGAAAATTGAAATATCATAGCAAAAACGAGATGTCCGTTGTCATGTTTACAATGCCTTCTAAAGAATGATCAGGCTCACACACCTACTTGACCTTAACACAAAAAATTTGTGAATTCCAAACTTTTTACGAAACGGATTATATAAGATAAGATAAGCTCGCAACCGTCCACTAAGAACTTATAAGCTGAAAGACCATTAATTTATCATGTATATCCGCTCGCATTGGCCTCGATTTGAAATTATAGTTAAATAAACTGTTGGCTCTTATGGTTTGTAAGGATCTGGACAAAGATCAGAACTGACATCAGATCGTCTTTCAAAAAACTCATTTACCCAATTCGAAAAGTTTCTTGCTGCGGAACATATCAGTAAGGATTCGCTTGGTCATTATTGACCTACGGTCAGTTGGGTCAATAGTATATACATATATATTCTTTCAAAGAATTTCTTTCGTATGTTGTATGCGTCACGAGAAAGGGGAATTTTGCATCAAGGGAACGCGTGAGTTTCTCTACTTAAAACTTCCAGGAAAATCACGTCGATCCTCAGGGTCAATGTAGGTGGGAAATGCCGGTTCTCCAAGTTCTCGGTGTAGTAATGACACAGAAGGAAAGTGGGGAGAATTCATGATAAACGTGCTCGGAGTAGGGATCCTATGTGTATGTACAGAGGACATCACGATTCTACACTCGGGCATCGCTCCTTCGAGTGTAAGGTGTCGTTCGCTGTTCGTCGTGTTTCGGTGTTTCCTTCTGGTGAGTGACCATGCCAAATTTAACTAGGATTTAAATAGATTTACTTTGTTCGAGTGTTTTTTGAATAATAATCAATAAAGTTTGTCATTTGTTCGCTTATTCGAGAAAGAGAGAGAGAGAGAGAGAGAAAGGGAAATCGGAGTTTGAATATTATGTTGTATGATTTTTTTTTACGTGACCTTGGCAATCTCAATTTCAACGAAAAATTTTCATTATTTAATAATAACAATAATGCCGATTTATTTGTTTGCTTTAATATTCGTATATTTGCAGATCGCGTTTATCACATTAATTTATATAATCATATAGTAGTGATTATATATTATGTATAATTTCGATATGTAAAATTATGCTATGATAAATTAATTCCTTCGCAATTCCTTGATGCAAAATTTTTGCAATTCCTTTCTGAATATAAATAGCCCGACGATAATACCGGTTTAACGAAATATGTTAATTTATTAGTTTGTGATCATCCGACGCCGCAAGATCAGTGGCAAGTAGTTTTAAATAAGTGAAGATCTTACGACTGAAACTGTTACACAATGTGCTGTTTGACGCATCAGTTATCAAATAAATGGGATTCACGTGGTAAGAAAACATCGAATACTCGGAATAAATAGCAAAACATTCTAGTCTCGCGCTACGTCTTTATCATCGGAGCGTGCGTTATGCGCACAAATAAAATTAAGAAAATATTTTTGTATGATGACACATATATCCGTGCGCATCTTCATTAGACGCGGCGCGGAAGCACCTCGAAGATAATGCTGATTATCAGATAACATCAGATGTTCTGGATAATTATGTGATCAAACTATTGCGTGTATTTCGTAGTTTTCAGAAAAGATTACAAGTATCCTGTCTGAAAAAGGATCGAATGCCGTCTCTCGGATTTAACATTGTATTGGAAGTTTGAAATAGTTTTACTGTTACTGTTATAAGAATATCTTAGATGTGGGATATTAAATTTTTCCCGTGCATTAATATTTTTTATGAAACTTATAATGTTTTACAGAACAGATAAAAAAAGGAATATTTATTTTGAAGTAATTAATGCATGAGAACCGTTAATGTACCATTATTTGTTTACAGTTATAATTTATTCGTTACAGTTATAATTACAGAAATTCCAACATTCCGACTTTAGTTAGATATTTAGATTTTTTCTGTGCGGCCTATACTTCAAATTCGACCTAAATTATTTAGGCCGTCTGTTGATAGGCGACGGGACCTGGCTTCAGGTCAGGCCGCGTATTTTGGCCGTTATCATTTGCGATGTAAACGCGCGATCACGCGCGACGCGTCCTAAAAGCTCTTATTTGCTTCGGATTCGCTGCAATTCAGGGCGCTTCCAAATACGATCCCGTCAATTTTTAGGTCTCTTTCGGTGTAAACGAATGATGACTTAGAAATAGGTCAGGCCGCGATCAGGTCGCTGGGTGTAAACGTATAGCCATTATGCTTATCAGGAATTACTAGTATTGTGGAACGCATAAATGTAATCTCATATTCTGATAACTCGGAATTCCGAGAAAATTGCATAGTTTACCAAATCACATAGAAAAAATACTTATTATTACTGGTATTCTTATTTCTTTATTAATCTGTAATTATTATAACTTTTCGAAATCTATAATAATCTTTTTTATTTCAATATAAAAGGTTTTTATTTGGAGACCAATTCGATTGTAATAAAATAAAGTATAAAACAACAAGCCTGTTCTATATTGCTGTAATATTCGAGACTCTCTCTCTCTCTCTCTCTCTTTCTCTCTCTATTTCCACACGTAAATTTAATATACCTCTATCTGTTAGTGCATCACGTAAACATGTTATCTATATATTCAAGCATTCTCTTATTCAATAATGCTTCTCGATGATAGCCGAGAATTGCCGAAGACTAAAACGCTTCACGTTAATGATCGCACGAAAGACAATATCATCAAAGATCTCACGAGCTACTTAGTTTGCACTCATCACTTCCTTCGATTTTCTAACTTAAAGCGCACCGCTATATCATCGCTATTTATAGCTTCGAAAAAAAAAAGATATTTCTTCTTTATGATTGCCATTGCGAGGAGTTTTCGTAAAATCAGCCATGATCCGTTCCGCAACGTTCCCACCGATATATACGTTATACCACTTTTCGTATTTGCTTCAGGTAGACCAGACTTGACGCAAACCATGTGGCAACTGGTTTCCGCATTGACCTTGGTTGGCGTGACTTTGGTGACGGCATTGCCCGCGGCGCAACAAAACGACGGTAACCTCGACGATCTCATCGCCCAGGCATTCCCCAATGCTAAGACGACACCTCCACCTCCGTCAGTGCCCCAGATAGGTGGCGATCTCGATAGTCTTATTCAAGACGTTTTCAAGACCGGAAATGTTAGCACCACTACCCCCAGAAATGTTATCCTCGGCATAGAGAATAAAACACCCTCGAAACCTGACGACTGCGAATGCGTGCCTTACTATCAATGCAAGGAAGGCAAGATCGTGGAGAATGGGGTCGGCATCATCGATATCAGGTCCGATTTTGGTGATAAGGATGAGAAGCGCCCGGGGTGAGTTTATTGACCAAAGATCGGAGAGTCTCGACCGGTTTTCTCACCGGATAGCGATGGACTATGGCATGCCGCGAAATTTTCGTTCGCAACAGATACGGACGACTAACGCTCCCGTTGGTATCGTAAAATCGAGATTGAAAAACTTTAACCACGACTGGTCTCGGTAGAGTTAGATATACGACGATAACTTAGTAGCTTTTTCCCACTGAATTGTGCAAGAAACTACTCACATGATCATCTCCTCGTTTTCAACTAAATTACTAAATTGGTACTGGTATCCCATGCACGGCTCTATTTTTTATTACCAAGATGTGCGTAGTAATAATATAATCTCGCATATATTTTAGATTTTAAAGTTAAATATACTCGCACATCCTTTCTGATTTATTTATAATTATTTGTTTTTTTTATAGTGTAATAATATTCTTTTTAATAGTTTGATAAAACGAATAAGGTATTTTTTTTGCAATGTAAATTATTGTTTGTAATGTAAAGATGTTTTTTAGAGAATAGTTCTTAAAAGTGCAAAACATTCAGCTACAAAAATTTTCTGTGCGAATTGAAAGATATAAAATTTTGATACTATTTACTCCTTCCTTCAAGTCCTCCTAATGTACAATAAATAATATCGTTGAATATGGTTATGGCATGGTAGTTACAAGTAGTTTGAACCGTATATAGAAAGTGAGTGTGTTAGAAGGAAAGCGGAAGTGTCGATGTTGCTAAATCAGGAATGGTTTGAAATTTTTTTTGTTATCCGATTGTCGACTCTGGACACAATATTGCGCACTCATAAATGACGTAATTAAATAAAATTCCGTATAGCAGTTGACGCTTATTGAGAATATTGTGTTATTATAATATTCGAAAAAGTGACGTTCTAATTGATGCAATAGTGAAATATTTTGATCGTTGCAATTGAAATTGTAGATCAAGTTGGAAAATTGAAACTGAAATATAACTGAAACACCCGGAACGTATATCACGATCAAAACGGATCAAAATTAATTACTTCGGAATTAGAAGTCTGCACAATTTGCGATTAATTTTTGTTAAAAGTACTCTTAATGCATGGCTGAATTTGTATATACATCTATACATATATATAGATATTTTTATCTTGTTAAGTTAGATTAAATTTGATAAATATTCTTTGTGATAGTTTTTAATTTAGACGGTTTATTATTTTTAGCATGCCGCCTTACTATTTTCGCAGCATGAGACTATCTTTGGACAATAAAATTCCTCTGGAGTCGCCAATAAATAATATATGCTGTCTTTACTTTAAGCACAATTTCACGTAGATAATTAAACCGGAGAAGAAACAATTGTCGGAAATTATAATTACTTTTTTCTTAATGATTACTTAATGATCTAAATCATTTATGATTATATTCTACTTTAATTTTGACTGAAGAAGAAAAACTTTTCGTATTTTAAATGTACTCTTTCTCAATATTTAACAGATTAAAAAAAATAATTTAACATTGCTAGAAAAACGTTGCTCTTAAAATGTTATCAAAATTAAAAATTGAAAAATTTAAAGTACAAGCTGTAAAATCTATTTTAATCTTTCTCGGATATTTTTCAAATCTCTTTTTTATTAATATGTTATCTATATGCGAATAAACGATCGGATCTATTTGCATAAAATTAATTAGGATAATAGGTCCTCACGTTTTCACGATCACATTGTGGAATATTTAGAGGTCTTGGACCATGCGACAACTACTTGGATGTTTGCTGCAAAGCGCCGGATCTCCTGCCACCAGTCACACCTCCACCGACCAGTAGTAGAACCGGATGTGGACAGCGACATCCTGAAGGAGTCGGTTTCAGGATCACCGGCCAAACCGATAATGAGGCCCAGTTCGGCGAGTTTCCGTGGATGGTGGCTATTTTGAAGGAAGAGGCTATTGGCGCTAACGGCCAGAAATTGAATGTTTATCAATGCGGCGGAGCTCTTATCCACAGACAAGCCGTTCTCACTGCGGCTCACTGCGTCAACGGGTCAGTAGTCTTGCCGTGAATATCTTTGCAATAACAAATAGTATTTTTACAGATATTCGATAACCTTGATTAATAAAACTTAATTAGATGACCTTAGATATTTCAAGTATATTCAAGTATCAAAGAATATGGATAAATAACTCTCGCTCATGCCATGGTGCGCTACATTCGAACGTGGGAATAGACACTATTTTGCATCCATATCTGTTTCTGTTACGCCCGTCACTCGTTATTTCTCTAATTTATTAACAATACATTCCGATCAATAGGAAGCAACCACAGGAGCTGAAGGTTCGCGCGGGAGAATGGGACACACAGACGAAGAATGAGATCTATCCGCATCAAGATCGGGACGTCGAGAGGGTCGTGGCTCACGAGGGCTTCCATTCGGGTGCGCTCTACAATGATTACGCTATCCTGATCCTGAAGACCCCGATCGAGTACGCGGAAAATGTTGATATCGTGTGTCTACCGGAAATAAACGCGAACTTCGACGGATCCAGATGCTTCGCCAGCGGATGGGGAAAAGACGTATTCGGTACGTCATTTATATATGCACTGAGAAAAAGGTTTCTTTATGCCAATTAAATATATTTGGTTGACACTTTTCTAAAATATTTATTTCAAGCAAACGAATTATATTTAATATAAATGAATGTTTTGTTGGTATTGCTAATTTACTTTATCATTCATATTTGTGTCAACTCGGCGATATAGTTGACATGATTTATTTCATACAAAATGTGTGTATGAAGGCTTCAAGATATTACATTCAGTTGTGACCTGAATGTATAGTATCTTGAAGGGATATATATATATATATATATATATATATAATTACAAACGTCGACGCGGATTTCCAGGAAAATGAAATTATTTACTATTAAAAAATATTTAATTGATGCAAAAAGATATTATTTTGTGCCAGATTCGAATTCCTTACCTAATAATAAATCTTTCGTTAATGTAACAAAATATACTTTTATGCCAAAATCATATTCCTTAACTATTAAGAAATATTCAATTGATGCAAAAAGATATTCGTTCGTGCCAAAATCAGATTCATTAACTATTAAAGTACATTAATTTGGGGCAACAGAATATTCACTATTATCACAAACCAACGATTGCATTGATTCAACAAAATATTCGATTCGCCGTATCCAACCATGCCATTTACTATCTGTTAACGAGCCTTATTTGGTCCAAAGAAACCTTTTTCTCAGTGTGTTTTCAGTGTACGAAAAAATGAATATCGATCGATTGAATCTTTCCGCAATAGCTCTAACTTTAATATATTATTGGAGTTAGCTGTTTGGTTTGCAACGATCGACTAATAATGGATTTAGATCGACCTGAATATGCAACCGGCATAATAATTTTATATTTAATTACAGGTAAAGAGGGACGTTACCAAGTGATCTTAAAGAGGGTGGAACTTCCTATAGTACATCGTGATAGGTGTCAAGACATTATGCGTACCACCAGATTGGGAAAATACTTTGTTCTAGACAGAAGTTTCATCTGTGCGGGTGGGGAACTAGGAAAAGATACCTGCAAGGTAAACTTGAGATGTCTTCCACGGAAATTCTTTTAACTCCGGAGATTCTATAAAATTCATATCTTATCTGCATCTACATATAGTACAGCATTTTGATACAAAAGGAGAATACAAAAATTCTAGAGACTTTAACGATTTCTTCGAATAAAAAAAATCTAAATTCAGGAAATCTATTTTTAGAAAATCCGAAAATTCAGAGCCGAATGTTTTCTAACTCTTTCTTGCGCTCAATATAATTATACTTTGCAAAAAGAAGAGCATAAACTGGAATAACAATTATCTAGGAATTGGTGCTAAATTATTCAAGATAAGCGCGGCTTTTTCCCGAGAATTTTGTGCAAAGAAACTTCCTATATTCCTCTCCTCTCGATTTTGTATGCGGTCAAAGAAAAGAGTGATTTTTCAATCTTTTTATTTACAGGGCGACGGTGGAAGTCCACTCGTGTGTCCGCTACAGAATGATCCGACCAGATACGTTCAAGCTGGCATTGTAGCCTGGGGACTTGGCTGCGGCGAAAACGGAACTCCCGGCGTTTACGCTAACATAGCCCATGCCCGTCAATGGATCGACGAACAAATGGCCTTCTACAATCTGGACAATACTGTTTACCAATATCCTAACTGATTACTCTCGTCCAAAGTACTAATATGGACCACGCAAATTTTTTTATTTTTGGCATTTATTTATAAGTACTGAGTTTTTTTTACATCAAATAATTTAAATTGAGAACAATGTGATGTTAGCAAGCTATCACGTTGACGATATAGGATTCCATGAATCTCTCTAATATTAAAAAAAATCCCGCGTTATTTTATGTTCGTAGTTTGAGTTACGCGTTCGAAAGTGATTGTTGACATGTGCATGTGACGAAAAACGAATAAGACTTGTAAAAATCAATGTATGTCATTTTGTATATGACGCACAAGTGAATAATACATTTTTATTAAAAATAGGAAGACAATATTAAGTTTATTTCCTACTGAAATCTTACAAGTATGTAATGATTTTTAATTGATCAATTATTGATTTGCCGGCGGTAAATTGTAAAATACAATGCTCCCCATTCTGTTATAAAGGTAATTTATGAAAGTTCAGCTTCAAAACTTTTAGACCTAGTCGTTCTATACGTGATAAAATTAATTTGTCAAAAACATTGTCACTATAATTTAGTAAAGTTTAGTATATATGAATAAGAATGATCCATTTATAAAAAATTTTCTAATAAATTAATTGAAAGAAGTGGGTCGATTTTTGGTAATTGCAGTCACTAAAAAACATATTGGGTTTCTTTCCAAAAAGACATGTTCAGATTATTGTTTACTCAACAAAAACTCTCTCTTTAAATAATTTGCAGTCTATAATAGTGATTTGAGGTATTATTGTGAATCAAAAAACATATTGAGACCGTGTTCAGATAAACATCTTTTTTTATAATGACCCATACTATCATCTCCCAAAATATTTCCCTTTCCTGACTCATCTTGTATAGAACGGAAACTTTAAAGACTATAATGAGGAGTAGGACCGGTATACGAGCATTAATCGATGTTACAAAAATTTTTTTTAACTTGTATCAAGATTTATTAAATTGACGTTTCGTACCATACTCGGACTTCATCAGAATTGTCAATTAAGCAAATAATTAATAAACTAACATATATCGGGGTCAAATCGCAATCAATCAAACATGGAGAAGTACCGCAATCACAAAGTCAAAAAACTTAAACATTATAGAACGCTTTCTTCGCAAGTCAATCATGCTCTAGTTAAATTTCCGTTTTTATTAAGTATCATCGTCCTGTGGAGACCCATGCAAGTCCACAATTTCAAAAGGCACCATACATTTCTGGACCAACTTAGTGGCAACTGAATAAATGTATTTAGATAAGATGATATAATATCAAGTCAAAACCGAGACTTACATAAGTGTTCAGAGATGACGGGAACCATGACAGGCAATAATTATAAGGCATCGGTATAACACGTCTGATCTGCGCGATAAGATGATTCTTCGCGCAGATCAGACGTGTTATACCGATGCCTTATAATTATTGCCTGTCATGGTTCCCGTCATCTCTGAACACTTATGTAAGTCTCGGTTTTAATTTTAATTTATTTTATTGAGTCGATATTATAGCCTTTGCTTCAAACAAGCGGAAATATAATATTTTTATTAGAAACTTTAAAAAGCTGCACAAAGACTTCATTCTATACCTAAATCATTCTATATCTTACATTTTCTATCGAAAAAAATTAATTTTTTCTTTTATAATTCACATTCAATAACACAGATTGAGTAAGATCATGTAAAAAATCTGTTTCTAATATATAAACAAATAAACATATACAATTCAATCTATATATATTTAATGCACGAAACGAGAAACAATTCGATATATTTTACTAATTTGCTTTCGAACAGGTAATAAAATATAACCTGTAAAAAGAAATTGGGTTTTTTTATACATGCTAGAGAAAAATTATGTGTAAATGCAATAAAATAATTTCTTAAAAGTTTGCACACCTTGCAAAATATTTATCTTATTTATATTATAAAATATTGCGGCTAGACTGAGAAAAACAATAATAGCTAAATAATAATAAATAAAGGGTACAGGAGAAAAAACAATCAAAGTCCACTTTTTTGTCAAAATTAATCTGATCATGTTATCTTGTAGCATTTTCAAAGAACTTTTATAATTTTTATCTGTTTTGATCAAGAACAGTTACACAATTCATTGGAAATAAAGCCGAACAATGTACCGTGCTAGGGAAAAACGATCATAATCCACGCGCATGAGGAAAAACCATTAGAATCCAATAGATATCTGATGTCTTGAAACTTAAAATTGCGTTTTTATTTCGAAATTACTCCGGATGGACATTGATCGTTTTTTTTCTGTATACCCTTCAAATGATAATGTGAAACAATTCTTTTAATTTTTTAACTAAGGTTGCGGTCCATTTTGTGCTACAAATGCATCGAAGCGTTCTTTATTGTCTTTCTTCTTTCTTCTTCTTTCTTTATTGAAAGAAAGGAGAAGAAGAATGTTTCGAAGCATTTGTATAGTGTTAAGTGGACCGTAGCCAAAACAATATAATAAATATCATCGATAGTCGTGTTGCTGCAACAGGAAGCAAGAGCAACAGACACATCGGTGCGAAATTTTTTCGGTGTAAAAACAATTTTTTTTAAATATTTATTTTTAAAATACCACGATGTAAAAATTATGCACCGCATATTTTAACATTTTAGCGCGGAATCTAAAGTTATCAGTCACATTTTTTCTGCGTAAGAAATACTTAATACAATACAATAAACTTGATTTATACTGCCTATTAATCCTAGATTCTGGAAAACACTAATAAAAATATTAATAAATATGCATGCGCATATGTTTTTAATCTTCAACCAAGATTAATGGTCAACCTTTTCTTTCGATCTTATATCTTGCATATATATATATATATATATATATATATATATATATATCTTATGTTATGAAATATTTTTTTTATCAAGGAAGATCTATATAAATGCATTGGCGATGCATTGGCAATCTAGTGTCTCAAGTATCGCAACTGTGAAACCAATGGCTCGGCTAAGCTACATCGTGTTAATTATTGCCACGAACGCACTGATATGCGTTCTCGCAGAAGAGCTTTATCCTAATCGATATGATCATCTCGATGTGCGAGCTCTTCTCCAAAACGACACTCTGCGAGAAGACTATTACAAATGTTTTATGGAATTAGCACCGTGCACGACATTAGCACAGCAGAGATTAACAGGTATAGCTATATATTAC